CATAAATACAGTATAACCATTATTATTATGTTCTTTTATTTTGTGGCATTGTACAATTAAATTTATGAGGAAGGTTTAAAATTAGATTTCACCGTACACAATCATAAAACTCCACGACATTCATTTCTTTTGTGATTTTTTGCTACACAGAAGACGGTAACATTGTATTGTGCGAGTATTTATTTGTCTAGCAGAGAAAAGATGATTGTACTATATTTGAGAGGTGTTCTATTTACGAGAACATTGGCAATTATCAGTTTATCCAGGATAGTATTCGAAAAATAGACTCACAATCTATTGGTACAACACTTGCCAACAGGATACTCATGCTATAACCAGACAAATCTATCATAATCCACAGACACAGGAGAGTTGTATTGATATCAAAACCGTGTGCGGGTAAAACATCAAAAGAAAGACAACATATTTATGTCACCACTTTGGTTATTAATTAATAATACAAACCATACGAATAGGAGCTTCATGCAAAAAAAGATTCCAATAACTGATAGGAGTAATACAACAACTACTTGGAGATTGACTTTTGTTTGCATAGTATAGTAATTTTAATCAATCAATTTAATCCCATCATGTAATGTTCAGCGGCGCTTAATGACGATGGCCTAATTTCAGAGTACACTAATTATTATTATTATTACTCTTGAGTCTTATTATTATGATGATGACTATTGCTAATAATGATGATCAATAATGATAATCAATAATAATGATGATCAATAACAATTATGATCGATAATGATGATGGACAATGATGATCGATGATTAATAATGATGATGATCAATAATGATGTGATCGATAATGACCGATACTTATGATTATTGATGATGATGATCAATAATGATGATGATCAATAATTTTGATGATAGATAATGATGATGATAATAGTAATAATAATATAGAGATGATAATTATGATTAAGAACACAATGATTATTGATTTTTTTGTCTGTTTCATTGATCAACTGACCGAAATACAGTATGTGTCAAAAGTGACCCTTTAATCAATGAAATGAGTCTTAATATTGTATCATCTTCATACATAACTTATTTTGAGAAGAACTTTTAAATATTGTTTTTTTGCAATTGTTTTAAAATTTTATCGAAAATCTATTTCATCATTGTGCTTTCTGTATTTTACTGTTGTTAATGTATGTTTTGTATTGGTTATAAGGGCCTCTTTGAGTCAGCCTCGCTGTAAGAGCCACTCATATAAAAGAAAGTTGAATAAATAATTACCACAATAATTACTATCATTCATTCACTAAATTCATTCATTAATTACTTTCTTTAGACCTTTGATGAGTAATACATGGATTACATTATATATCAATCATTTAGTCCTTGTGGGGATATAGCTTTTCATGTTTACATCATGTTTCGACTTCTATAAGCCAACTACGTCAGTACATAACAGGTTTGAACCAGAAAATAATGAAAATCTATTATCACAATAAGTTCAGGGTAACTACCTTACTCTTATATGACATTTTGATGACATTTTGTGATGGCATTTAGTGACATTTTTTCGTTGGTCACTTTAGTAGTGGAGGATAATATACTGTACTTGTTTCAATATGTTACAGGTTTTTCCAAATCTCTGTTGCATTTTTCATCTTGTCCACTTGGGCCTGCTATTACAATCAGAGCAAACATTAATAAAAAAAAAAGGGGGTGGGCTTTTTCCTATGTTTCTTGTTGTTTTCTTGAATGAAAAACTATATTCAGCTTTGTTTGTTTCACTCATTATAATACAGTATAACCAGTGGAGGAAATAAATTAAGTATGACCTAGTAAATTGTAATTAAGACTTAATAACCTAATTTCAGTGGTATACTAATGGGCTTTCATATGTTCGTAATATTGTTTGTTATATACTGTACTGTATTTTGTCTGACATAGGCAAAGTCTACCATACAGTATGTACGATATATGTACTTAATGAAGATTGGAATATAATATCAGTACATATTTGTAAGACGTCGTCATCCACATCATATAGTAAAGAGCCACAATTAAGATCAGAAACTTGAAAGGCCACACCAATGCAATGACAAAGTTTTAAAGGGCATCATTAAGTAGAAATATTTCCCCTAAAATAATAGAAATATTTCCACATAATAAAACACAACAAATTTCTCAAATATATTTTTAGATTATTACGTCAATATTTCCTTCACTGTTGCAAGCGATGGCGCAATTGTTGACTTAAAATTGCCACCATCAGGCAATACAAAGAGTATACAGTACAGGCATTTTCTACTCCTAAAAATGCTGTTCAAATGTCGTTCTTAATATTCAGTCTATTTTTGCTGCAAGCTTTGATTGTCATTTTACTTTAATGTCATTTCTAAAAACCACCTTTGATTTAAAAAAACACATATTTCCCTACAGGGGTCAGTTGTGACGCCCATCTGTAAACATTTTCTCTCTACAGTACTCTATGTAATGTAAGGTACCAGTCTCTTTTTACAACCAAAAATCTGTTTACACTTCACACCCACTGACTAGAGACTTATTATAAATACTTTGTTTTAAGCATTGTTTTATTTTCATTTATTTTTCAATTTCTATGCAATCTAGCCCTTTTCTTCCTCTGTTAGAATATTCAATTTGTTGTTATTTGGACACTTTTCCCAAAACATTTTTATACATGGTAATCATATTGTTGCTTAATTCACATTCAATCAATAATCTCATCATAGACATGTTATTACTTTTTCATTGATTGATGGATCTTTCCAAATAATGTATTGACGCCTACACTTGACTTCTCTATCAGGTCTATACCTTGTACCCCATATACGGCAAGACATCTTATGTACATTTCCAACAATTGATAAATCAGAATATAGCAAAATACATTTTTATCACATGCACATCAGTCCAAGTGTATTGCACATTTAAAACTGCAACAAAACCAATACAGTACATTGTATGTAGAAATATCTTAAAGCAAATGTAAAATGTAAAAGTTGGCAAGTTATGTGACTACGGCATTTGAAAATGTTTTAAACTAGTCATCTTTTATTTTTTAGTACAATTTGTTAAGTACTGTATATAAGTACTGCATGTGCTGGTTTTCAGAACCTTGGTCCTTAATAATAATGCAGCCTGTTAGCCAAAATATGAAATATTTCCCCCCAGTTTTCTCATCCCAAGTTTTGCCCAAAAAATGAACATTGTAAGGTTAGGCCAACAGAATTGATTGCTTCCATTGATCTGTCTGTCATTTCAAGGCCACCGGCCACTTAAAAACAATGCATTTAACTACAGACCCTACATACCATACCCCTCACTTGCCACCCCCAGGTTTCTGACTCTAGGCACTGCCACTGAGAGTTGGTAATTTTTGCAATTTATTTTATAAGATCAGGCATAAATTCAAATTTATATTTAAGTTATTGTTTTTTGTTTGTTTTTTTAATAGATTTTCCCTATTTGACAATTTATATTATCTTTTAAGCTACCTTATCACACATCACAATTTCAGTCCATACTAAGAGCATTTGCAGATCTAGCAAAGGTTTTAATATACCTGTATAATCAAATAGTATTTTATACCATCATACTGTATTAAGCATACATAGTGGTGCATGCCTATTTACGGTGCATAATCTAAACTTAATTATCTTTGATATTAGACAACTATTCATTATAAATTTGTGTATGTAAGCGACAACTGATACCTTGACTATAGAAAACAGAAATATGCTTCTGGGCTCCATTGGTTTACAATTACACAAAATCATTCAGTTTAAAGCATGGAGAAAATATATTACAGTAATTAATTGTGTTTGTAATAATCCTGAGTTGAATATTTTTAATTGTATTTTTTTTTTTTTTTTTGCATTTAAAAATAATTGTACAGGAAATAGTTTAAGTGGTTAAGAATGTTATATATTTACTTATTTATTTGTAAAGTTAATACTTTATCCTTTTTATTGATTATTGTAATCTTCTGCTTTTCATTTTATCATATTCTTATATACTTATGTTCATCATGTTTGGTATTTACACAGTTGGATGTTTGAATAAAATACAAATACATTTATATTAATAATATATATATATATATTTTTTGGTTTAAGTATGTTTTTCGTATACTAATACTCATTTTAAGTTTTGCTGGATAATAAAATGATGTTAAGAAAATAGATACTTGTCCTTGCCCACTTCCTAATTTTGCTCCTCCGTCAACTTTATAATTTTAAAAAATATTTATATTTCATTCAGTACTGTAATCATTTTTTTCGTCAGATTCTCACACAGTAAATTACAAAGTTACATCTCTCTAATGTAGGGACAACTCCATACCAATTACAATATTAATCATTCATCATGAATTTGGCTTGTTGTACAAGTGACTTGATCGGAAAAACAACCAGATGATGGCTAAATGATATATATTATGTTCTACATATACAATTTAAAAAGCTATAACATGCTTTGATATGTATAGAGGGCGCCATTGCAAACACATTATTTCTATGTGGAATTTGAAAGCCAATTAATGCTATTGATAAATTTCCCCCATAGTGTAACTAGTCATTTTTTTTTCTTAAGGCCTTTCTAACATTCCCAAAAATACCAAAAATGTAAGTTCATGTGTAACTTGTTTGGAATTTAAAAATAATTAATCATGTATTTAAAATCCGATCAATTTGAATACCTTGCATTCTTTTTAATGTTGTATTTATTGAAAATACATTAAGAAAAACAAAATACAGCTATGCAGGCGTAATAAAAATAATTTCATCTATAAGGTCCACAAATCCATCTCAAACAGCTTCTTGTAAAAAAAAACCAAAAAATATATAATTACATCTAACAGTTGAAAAAAAAAAACCGGGGAAATATAGTTGTGGATCCCACTTGAATCCAAGAGAGCTACAGTATATGGGAAAAAGGTTACTGTACGTGGAGGAAAGATAAAGAGGAAATGATAAATATAAGGGATAGACCACAGCTTTGATACATACCCAAGAAGTTTTAAAGGCAGAGCAGCAGTAGTCATGGCAGCATGCGAAGCAGTATGTGGTTTCCGTTGTAGCCTTCTGTTTAGTAGTTTATTTGTTGCAGGGCGCCTACTTACTATTAATGCTCCTCGGAGAACAGTACTGCAAACCACAACCTGTAGATAAAAAGTATATTTTTATTGTTTTTTCAACTTTTATTTCAGACTGTCATCCTCAGAAATATGTAAATATCAATGGGATTGAAATTAAACACCAACAAATGTTCCATATAATATACTTTGGCAGATCATTCTGTACATATGCCTACAAATACCTAAAATACAATTTCACTCTGAGGTCTGTACAGTTTCAATTCGTTTAAATATTGAACTAACCTATTTTTACTTGTCTGAACCCTATCCATAAAACTAAAACCTGATTTTCTCAGAAATTCATTGGCGGTAGGAGGAGTGTGGGAATCCACACCACCTCAGCCATCACCATGTTTGAGGGTGAGGCGAGAAAAAAATTTGAGAATATAGACCTCTTGGCTAATTACTTTTTCTTAATACAATTTAGTAGGTGCGATCACATTGTCTGCATCTACCCCAGAACTAGGCAAACGATTTGTCCACAAATAATCAGCTAGCACTCGTATACATGGGCTGTTTAAGCATACAAAAACGATAATTGTATTTGTAAAAGACTTTTAGACGATTAACATTTGTTTTTGATAATAGGTCGGCCAAAGTAAACAATATAGGAAACTTAATAATAACCAAAATAATAATAAATAAAAACCACAGAGATTTTCAGTTTCTCATATTGTTGCTCTTTTTTAGTTTCATTACCATTACTTGCAGTATGTGAAGCATGCTATGATAAAATCTGCATACATGGCATGCACAAAGCCTTCACACCTGTATTGAGTGGTACACACATGCATGTTTTTCAGTAGACATGAACACAAAGGCTTTGTGCCTGCATTTTGCATATATATAAATTCTCACAGGGTGTCTAGCAAAAATAAAAAAGCTACAAGGCTATTTTGGTGCCTGTAGTTTTTTAAAGTTTTAGAGTTTCCCTTAAAGCCAGGATCCAGCTGAGAAAAACAATTTGCTGAAATGTTGTAAAACTGATTTTTTAAAGACTAAAAATGCAGGAATGGTGACGTGAGCTGTACAACATAATCAAATTTGTTTTTTCTCTGGAGCCTGGCTTTAAAATTCCTCAAAATACGGCTTCATAACATATTCTGAATTTAAATCTTTATAGACATTCATATAAGGCAAGAGTGTACTTTAATTGATGATGAAATTAAGTACATACTAAAATGCTTCAGCTCTACAGGGCTACACTCCCAACCTGGCTCCTACAGGCTCCTCTTGGACCCAATAGGATTTCTATGTTACCCTCATAGTCATAGGAACTACCCCCTAAATAAATAATCATTTGTGGGTGCTCATCGAAAGTAAAAATGGAGACAAGTCTGCAGCCCCTTTCAGATAGATGTTGCAATATTGCGGTAAGCATGTCGGTATACTAACCGGTCTATACTCTTTCACACAGCGGCTTTGAATGTTACCGCAATATTGCAGTAATCTTATGTACACTTTTCTGTCTGAAAGGGTTACTAGGCGGCTGGCTACCATTCAAACAAATATTATTTATAATGTGGCCCTACCGAATCTTTATTCAAACTGTTGGAACCCCTACACACTGCGATTAAACTGGCTCTAATAATACCCTTGATCTCGTCAGGGGTTTTAGGGGAAAGGGACCCCTCCTCCACCCAGTTGGCCTATTTTTGTATAATATCATTAGAGCACCCCATGGTTGACCTCTGGAACGACCAGAATCCGGCCGTGCACTTCCAACCGTGTTGCCTAGCCTATAAACTATAAAAGACCCTCAGGGAGTTGTTTGTGCTGAACCAAATAGGATACACAGTAGATAGATAGACTAGGCCTACATCCAGGCTTGGCTAAACTAGATGACAAGGCAATGCAAACTAAACAGATTGTGTGTGTTGTGCCATACGATAGTTTACTTCTACAGTATGTGTTTAAATAATTCACCTACATAAAGTGTATGCATTTACACACTACAGCTTCTAAAAGTGGGCCAGAGTAGAGTCTAGAGTAGGCAACTTGCTCAACTTCCAGTACCAAAGAATTTGTAGTGCGCCCTCTCGGAATCTATAACGATCTAAAAGAAACACATCGTATTTTTAATCGAATAATTCAGCTTTGAATCAACCCTCCCTCGAATAAACACCCACTTCAGAGCCTCATTTGGAATAAACGCCTCCCTCGAATAAACGCTCCAGGCTTTTATTTTCTTCCTCGAATAAACGCCCCTAAATGACTGTAAACAACACAAATTGAAGCAATATCATTCTCAATACATTATACTCCAGTAGAATAGCCTACATTTTTTCTAACCTGGTTGGGATAATAATCTTTATGATCATGTAATAACACATTTCGATGGCAATTATGTTATGTAGTTCCACATTTTCAGGTAAATTAAGGGGCGTTTATTTGAGTATATAGTATACGTATTACCGTACGTATCCCGAACGCCTCCCTCGAATAAACCCTTCTCAACAATTAAATACAGATCATCACACTGTGGACAAATGGATTACATTAAAAAAAATAAACGCCTCCCTCGAATAGATCCCCTCACAAACCCTCCTGGGCGTTTGTTTGAATAAATACGTTAAATATTTCTACAAAATCAATGTAGGCCTACCAAAACATAAGAATAACAAGTTTGGCAACACCATTATTCATAAGCCGAAGTTGGCCTATTCAGTTGGCACGGAAACAATTTTTAACCAAATACATCATGGCAGAGTAAAATCCATCAAGACATTTATGTTTATGAACCAAGCACATGAGCCATGAGGGGGGGATAGACATGTAGGGAAATGTTAATAACTTACTTCTAACTGAACTCATGAAATAAAGCAAAGATTGACTGTTCCCTTCGCTATCACGAACTAAACCATCGCTGATTTTCTACCTCGGGTTGGGGAAAGGGGGTAGATCCAGATATTTTGCCGGTGGGGAAGGGGGTGAAAACACAATATGAAGTCGACACTCACCTCATGGTTGGGGAAATTTTAAGGATGGGCAACTTTAGATGCCCGGAAATGACACTCTCAGACGGTAAAAATGCTTTTTCAAACCGGTGCTCCTCGAAAAAATTATTGGCTGCTTCCCGACAGGAATTATTATGCTCCCCCTCCCCTAGACACCCCTCTCCTCACGAGCGTCTCGAAGACCTAATCGAGCTTCCATAGTCTATTCTATGCGGGAAGGCGCAAAGCTCTAAACATAAAACCAACAGTCCGAGAGAAGGATTTGTGAGAGCTTTACCCTAGGGCCCGGATCAACCATGGTTCACATTTGTAATATTAAAGGTTTAGATATAATAAGAAATATGAAACAACATAGAGAAAAAGCACCAATGAACGGACATTTCAAAGCATGGATAGCTGTTCTAGCTAGCACTATCATATCGTTATAATGGCTGTATAGTTCTCCGACTTTTGGCCTTTTTTGACATCCGGACATCGTTGGACATCGGGAGTGTTGTGTTCGTCGTCAGGCAATAGAACATTACAAATTAGTGGTATTAAATAATCGAGCGACCCTATCGCCTACTGTATGGATCCGCCACTGAATCCATAATGGGTGCACTTTTTTATATACAGTATCTCTCTTTCCTTCCTTTTCCTCTTCTCAATATTTTTTTCTCTCTATTTTTAAGCGGGACTGACCCGATCTGGAACACAGCAATAGACTCACTGGTATACGTTTATAGACGTACAGTAGCATTTCCAACAATTTAATAGATATGAAATCGAAATAAAAACATTGACACTACCTCATCCCTAAGGGCATATTTTAAGCATTAATATTCGAGCAATAGGCTTATTCCCAATCTCGTATATACATTCTTAATCTGGGTGGGTTCAATTTTGTACATTATAAACCGGCTCTGTTTTGAATCAGAAGACAGTCTACATCTAAAAATGTGTTTACAAAATTAAATATATGAAATAAGTTTAGTACGATGATCAAATGGCAAAAGGTGACTTTTTTTAGGCCTTCATATTTCGACCTACTTTTTGAGACTTGAACACTCTGTTGATATGTGTTATCCTGCAATGAGATCCGTCTTGTCAGATAGTTTTCAGAAACGCGGGTATATTGATCTGCTTTTTGCCAAAGATCAAGCTCTAGTGCTGTCCTCCTACACATGCAACAGAGTGTGAAAAATCCCAATTGGATAAGGCGTCTGCACAGACGACAGAAGGTCTTTTATATAATTATAGCATCACCACAAGAGTTTATCTCTATTATGTTATATATATATATATAT